ATTCCAATCAAAAGTTAATTATGAAATCTGAACAAGGAGGCAACAAAACATTCAAGGTGAATGTAGAAACAGCTGAAGCAACGTGCCTTAGTGCAGAAGGTGCTGAAAGTAACAGTAAGCTATGGCATAAGAGGTTAGGGAACTTAAATTATAGAAGCTTAGGGCATCTATGTTCTAAGAAGCTCGTACGTGGTATTTCGAAAATTGTGAAGCCTGAGAAGTCATGTGAGATATGCATGAAAAGTAAGCAACCTAGATTGCCATTTACATCAGAAGTAGCCCCCAGAGCGAAACATGCTCTGGGAGTAGTACATTCTGATGTGTGTGGACCATTTCCAGTACCTTCACTTGGAGGAAACAATTACTTTGTGTCTTTTGTGGATGAGTTCACAAGAGTGACATGGGTAACACTTATCAAATTCAAGCATGAAGTGTTTACTGAGTTCTAGAAATTCAAGGTGAAGGCTGAGAAGTAGAGTGGTCAGAAGTTAAAAATTCTGAGAACAGATGGTGGAGGTGAGTATAACTCTACAGTGTTTCAGAAGTTTTGTGAGGAAAGTGGAATAGAACATGAGGTTACTGCTCCACATACTCCTCAGCATAACGGTCTTGCTGAAAGAAGAAACAAAACTCTGCTTGATATGACCAGAAGCATGCTGAAAGAGAAAAAACTACCTCACGTGCTATGGGGAGAAGCTGTTGCCACATCAGCATACATTCTGAACAGGTGTCCAACGAAGAAACTGAAGGAAGATGTTCCTTTAGAGAAATGGACTGAAGATAAGCAGAGTGTCAGTCATCTGAAGGTGTTTGGCTCTGTCTGTTACAAACACATTCCAGAAGCTAGAAGACAAAAACTGGATGATAGAAGCAAAATAATGTTGCTGGTGGGGTACCACAGTACAGGTGCGTATAAGCTTTATTGTCCAGAAACTAATAAAGTTGAAGTCAGCAGAGACGTTGTGGTGAAAGAGTCTGAAGCATGGGATTGGAACAAATCTCAATCTGATTCCGGTGTAGTGCCAACACCAGAGTTATCCTCTGAAGATGTTTTAGAAAGATCAGAAGATGAATCTGATTCTGAAGATCCTGAAGATTCTGAAGATGAGTTAGAAGAAGATGATCCAGACACTGATGATGATATAGAATCTGGTGGTAATCATAGTTCTAGAAGGGAAAACTCTGAAGGTGGTAACTCTGAAAGTAGTAGTTCTGGTGCAGCTTCAGAACAAGCACAAAGACCACAGAGAATCAGACAAAAACCCAGAAGGTTTGCAGATTTTGACATGCTGCAGGATAATGACGTTGACTCTGAAGGAGAAGTCGTTCAGTGTGCCATGTTAGTAGATTCTGAACCAGTGGGCATTGAAGAAGCTCTCAAGAAGAAAGAATGGCTTAATTCCATGAAAGAAGAACTTGAGGCAATAGAAAGGAACAAAACTTGGAAATTAACTAAACTTCCAGATAAGAAAAAATCCATCAGCGTCAAATGGGTTTTTAAGTTGAAACTTAAGCCAGATGGTTCCATTGGCAAGCACAAAGCTAGACTAGTAGCTAGAGGTTTTCTTCAGAAACCTGGGCTAGATTATTTTGAGGTGTTTGCACCTGTAGCTAGGCATAAAACAATCAGACTGGTGATTGCTTTAGCTGCAAACAGAAACTGGCCTTTAATGCACCTGGATGTGAAGTCAGCATTTCTGAACGGTCCATTACAGGAAGAAGTTTACGTGTCACAACCTCCTGGATTTGTGAAAAAGAATCAGGAAGGGATTGTATACAGGTTAAATAAGGCTATGTATGGACTGAAACAAGCGCCTAGAGCTTGGAATCTTAAAATTGATTCATTTTTCAAGAAGCAGAGGTTTCAGAAGTGTGAGATGGAATATAGAGTTTATGTACAATACTATGATAGCAATATGATTCTGGTGTGTCTCTATGTTGATGACATCTTGCTAACAAGTAGCTGCCCAGAAGATATAAAGAAGTTCAAGGAAGTTCTGATGAATGAGTTCGAGATGACAAATCTAGGAAAAATGACATATTTCCTAGGAATGGAGATTATGTACTCGAAGAAGGGTATCATTCTGCACCAGTTAAAATATGAACAAGAACTTCTGAAGAGATTTAAGCTGCAGAACTGCAAAGTTGCTGTGACACCATCAAAAACCAATCAAAAATTGGATTCTGACTCTGATGGTGATTTTGTTGATTCTACAACCTTCAAACAGCTGGTTGGCTCTCTAAGGTATTTATGTAATACTAGACCTGACATTTGTTATGCAGTTGAATTGGTCAGCAGATTCATGAGTAATCCCAAGTGGTCTCATTTCCAAGCTGCTGTCAGAATTCTGAGATATATTAAGGGAACTCTGAAATATGGAGTGTTGTTTCCTTCTGAAAGAAAGACAAAGTCAGAGTTAGTAAGTTATTCTGATTCTGACTGGTGCGGAGACAGAGTGGACAGGAGAAGTACCTCTAGATACTTGTTTAAATTTCTGGGAGGTCCCATTTCCTGGAGTTCCAAGAAACAGCCTGTTGTAGCTCTGTCAACATGTGAAGCTGAGTATATCGCAGGTGCTGTAGCTGCTTGTCAAGCAGTTTGGCTTCTGAATCTCCTGCATGATTTAAAGGTTGAGGTTGAGGAACCTCTGAAGCTGATGATTGATAATAAGTCTGCAATTGATCTTGCCAAGAATCCAGTGCTACATGGAAGAAGCAAGCACATTGAGACGAAGTATCACTTTCTCAGAAATCAAGTTCAGAAAGGAGTGTTAGAAGTTCTGCACTGTAGCACTCAGAAACAGCTTGCAGATCTTCTGACGAAGGCAGTTAAAACAGATCAATTTCTTTGCTTAAGAGATGAAATTGGTGTTGTTAGCTTCTGATAGATTATCTAAATTAAGGGATGGTATTGGAAATGTAATTTATTTAATGTCCACAATTCCCAATACTTACTCTTTATTAGGGTCTTTTGGCATTTTCAATTTCTAGTATAAATATGCTACCTAGGCTATCAATATTGCATCCCAAAAATTCATTCCTTTATTTGAATATTAAGAAGTAGTCCTCTTTGTTATCATTCATTGTTCATTCTTTTTCTCTCCTTCCATTACCTTGCACCAACAGTGTAAAATATAAAGATGTCACAACCTATAATCCAGAATGAAGTGAGGATAGTCTAATAGATAGATAAAAGAGAATTCTTGAAAAAATAGATAATCCTTTATAGAAGAATTGGTACAGCATCTCGATGAAGGGAGCAGATTGTCTCCCATGAAATGGAAAAATAGTGGAATTTTAGTCACATAAAATATTCAAAATTAAGAAAATAGAAATTTCAATAGTGCAGATGACTACTGCTCTCTCTCCAATGAAAATAAGACTGGAAATCTCTTCCTCTCGATAACACTTTTTTTAGTTTATAGAAGTGTCTATAAAATACCACTTGTCTACTTATAACCTAGTTAATGGCAAAGCTTTTCATTTGCCCATTGAATTACAATATAAAGCATTTTGGACTACTTAAGAAACTCAATTTTAATTTACTAGCAGATGGAAATGCTATGTTATTGCAACTAAATGATTTAGAGAAACATAAAATGTTCTTCTATGAGAATGCAGAAATTTACAAAGCTTAGACCAAGTAATTGCATGATATGAAGTGTTTGAAAAGAGATGTAAGGGAGGCACAAAATGTCCTCAAATTTGACTCGAGACTTAAATATTTTCTTGAAAAATTTAATAGTTTATTCTTATGGGAGAGTGGACTTCCTTGACAAGAAATCATGGCATGAGTTAAAGTCAATGATCAAAGAGTTTGCTACTAGAAAAAAATGTTTAATTTCGGAAGAATATATATTGTATTTTCAGTTACATATGTGATGTAACGAAGGGCGTCATAAAAATTGTGTCACTTTATCTTCCGATAATAACTCTATCAAAGGATAAAATTGCACTTGTAGTGAATTCAGACCCCAACAATTATTAATTCATATTATTTAAAGGTACTATTTTACCTCTCGGTTATTAGTATAACCGAAGCGAAATATATATATATATATATATATATATATATATATATATATATATATATATATATATATATATATATATATATATATATATATATATATATATATATATATATATATATGTTGAGAATCAAGTGTGAGGAAGAAGTCCCACATTGATTATAAAAGGGAAGATTGAGCACTTTATAAGTGAGAGAACCCACTCATCTATTACCTTAAGGTTTTAGATGGACAAGTGGTGTCTCTCTCACAAAGGTGTGTCCCAAGTAAAATGCTCCTTCCTCGGAATTGCCCCTACAATGGTATCAGAGCGGCAATACATAATAGAAACAAAGCCAGTTTGAATCATGTCGGATACCGAAGACTCTGCAGCTTCAACAAATAGCAAGAGCACAAAGACAGTTAACAATGGCGATGGAGTTGTCATCAGAAAAACCATCTCCCCTTATGATATCACTTCCAACGACAATCCTGGAAGTTTGATAACTCATGTGCAATTAAAGGGAGAAAACTACAATGAATGGGCTCGTTCACTCAGAACAGCTCTTCGAGCACGAAAGAAATTCGGTTTTGTCGATGGAACAATTGGCAAGCCCGACGACGGATCCCCAGATCTTGAAGATTGGTGGACAAACAACTCATTATTGGTGTCTTGGATCATGAATACCATTGAACCTTCGCTGCGATCGACTATGTCGCACATGGAGGTAGCTATGGATCTTTGGAACGACATCCAGGAGCAGTTTTCCATTGTGAATGGACCACGTATTCAACAGCTCAAAGTTGAACTAGTTGAATGCAAGCAGAAAGGTTTGACCATTGTGACATACTATGGCAAAATGAAAAAAATTGTGGGAAGAATTAGTGAACTATGATCAGATTCTGACATGCAAGTGCGGATTGTGTACGTGCAATATCAGCAATAAAATTACAAAGAAACATGAGGAGGAGAAAGTTCACCAATTTCTCATGGGATTGGATGATACTCTCTACGGGACAGTCCGATCTAATCTTCTTGCCCAGGATCCTCTACCTACACTAAACAAAGTGTATGCAACACTGGTGCAAGAGGAACGACTACGCACAATAACTCGTGTGACAGAAGAACGTGGTGAAGCAATGGCATTTGCAGTACACTCAAATGTCAAACACAAGGAGAGAGAAAGATTATGCAATCACTGCAATCAAACTGGGCATGATTCAGAAGGTTGTTTTCAACTCATAGGATATCCTGAATGGTGGGGAGATCGACCACGTGGACCAATGAAGGGGTCTGGACGCGGGAAACCAGAACGATCTAATAACAGAAATCGAGGAGGTACCGCTAAGGCTCACATAGCACAAGAAAAAGCGGCAACAAAAGAGATCACTACTGATGTTCCAGAGGCTGATTTCGGCCTTACTAGTGATCAATTGCAAACACTAGCTAGCCTTTTAAACAATGTCAAACTAGGTGCTTCACACCATTCAACTGAGAAGCTCAATGGTAAGTGTTCCTTCTTGCCATGGATTATTGATACAGGTGCTTCACACTATATGATTGGTCAATTGGACTGCCTAACCAATATACACAACATCTTTGAGTGTTCTATAGGACTCCCAAATGGTGAAGAGACAGTGGCCACCAAAGAAGGAAATATGGTGCTCAATGAAAGGCTGCAACTAAAAAATGTTCTATATGTGCCTAGTTTGCAATGCAATCTTATTTCAGTGTCACAACTACTGAAAAATTCTAATTACACTGTCCTATTTACTGACAACTCATGTCTTCTACAGGACCCCACTTTGAGGATGCCGATTGGAGCGGGTGAACAAAGAGAGGAGCTATACTATCTTAGAGGGATTGTCAAGGCGGCTGCAATGAAGACTAATAAAGAGGTATCTTTGGATTTGTTGCATCAAAGACTAGGACATGCATCTTTGAAAGTTCTGCAAACGCTTCCAAATGTTAGCCCCGGTAGCAAAAATAATTTATATATTCAGACTTGTGACATATGCCTTCGAGCAAAACAGTCACGAGCCAATTTTCCTATTAGTGAAAATAAAGAAGCCACTCGTTTTCATTTAATTCATTGTGATTTATGGGGGCCTTATCGAAATGATACTTTTTGCGGTGCTAGATATTTTTTAACTATTGTTGACGATTTCTCGAGAGCAGTGTGGATTTATCTTCTTGTTGATAAAACTGAAGTCTCTAGATATCTTTATCAATTTTTAGCAATGGTTGAACGACAATTTAGTACACATGTAAAGATAATTCGAAGCGATAATGGAACTGAATTCACTTGTATGAAACCAACTTTTCGTGATCGTGGTATTATTCATGAAACTTCATGTGTTGGAACACCACAGCAAAATGGAAGAGTAGAGCGTAAGCATAGGCACATTCTTAATGTCGCTCGTGCTTTGCGCTTTCAAGCCCAATTTCCAATTGAATTTTGGGGGGAATGTGCTCTTGCTGCATGTTACTTGATTAATCGAACTCCTACACGAAATTTAGATGGTAAAACTCCATTTGAACTCTTGTATGGTAGGCCTCCTTCTCTTGAGCACCTTCGTGTCATTGGCTTCCTAGCTTATGCACATAATCAACATCATAAGGGTGACAAATTCGCTAGTCGAAGTCGCAAGTATGCATTTGTTGGATATCCCAATGGCACCAAGGGATGGCGTATGTATGACTTGGAGCTGGGTGTTTTCTTTAACTCAAGAGATGTGGTTTTCTATGAAGATAAGTTTCCGTTTGCTGCAGAAATTGTACCGCGCCAACTTGCATGTAAAGATGACCACACCTTGCCCGATGTCCCTTTCAATAAAAATATTGTTGAAGATGATCCCCTTCAGCGTGTTGTTACTATACCTGCTGTCCTTTCAGCTCCAGCAGTTGAAACTACAAGGTTACATGATCATGATGAATCAAATGGCATGCTACCAGCTGTTCCAATTGTATCTCATATTGAATCCTCTTCACCTGAGTCTCGTGACATACCACCAGCTGTTGAAATCAATGAAGAACCGCCTACTACTGATACAGTCGAAAATTTGGGACGTGGCCGTCGTGTCAAGATTCCTTCTACCAAGCTGCAAGACTTTGTGACCAATACCATCTCTAAGATATGCCCCTCAAACTGTTCCATCGCTCCGTCACGTCCTTCAGGTACACCCTATCCCTTATCTGAATATGTGAATTATGCTAACTTTTCACCACAGCACAGGCATTTTTTAGCCGCTATTTCTGCAGCCATAGAACCACAAAGCTTTGCTGAAGCTGTCAAAGATATCCGATGGTGAAATTCCATGCAACATGAAATTGAGGCTCTTGAAAATAATGGTACTTGGATAGTAGAAACACTTCCTCCAAACAAAAAGGCTATCGGCAGCAAATGGGTGTATCGAATCAAATATCACTCAGATGGAACTATTGAACGCTATAAGGCAAGGCTCGTTATTATGGGGAACAACCAAGTTGAGGGGTTGGATTATCATGAAACCTTTGCTCCAGTTGTGAAAATGGTAACTGTGAGAACGTTTCTTGCTGTTGCTGCTGCAAAACATTGGGAACTTCATCAAATGGACGTTCATAACGCTTTTTTACATGGTGAGCTTGACGAAGAAGTGTATATGAAATTACCCCCCGGTTTCAAGACATCTACTCCAAATCAGGTGTGTCGCTTGCGGAAATCTCTATACGGCTTCAAACAGGCACCTCGGTGTTGGTTTGCCAAACTAAAAAACGCACTTCAACGGTATGGTTTCACACAGTCCTACTCTGATTACTCTCTTTTTACTCTACATCGTGACTGTGTAGAGTTGTATGTGTTAGTTTATGTGGATGACCTTATCATTTCGGGAAACAACAACAAAGCAATTGAGTCATTCAAATCCTACTTGAGCACATGCTTTCATATGAAAGATCTTGGCCCTTTAAAATATTTTCTTGGCATTGAGGTGGCTCGCAATTCCAAAGGAATTTTCTTGTGCCAACGAAAATACACACTTGACATCATTACTGAAGCTGGATTGTTAGGTGCTAAGCCTGTTGGTTTTCCCTTAGATCAAAATCACCATCTTCCCTTGGCCATTGGAACTCCACTTTCCAATCCGGATCGCTATCGAAGACTAGTAGGTCGTTTGGTCTACTTAACTGTCACTAGACCTGAACTTTCTTACTCGGTTCATATTTTGGCTCAATTCATGCAAAAGCCCTTAGAAGAACACTGGAATGCAGCCCTTCGTGTTGTTCGTTATCTCAAGGGAAATCCCGGCCAAGGTATTCTTCTCCAAGCTGATTGTGATCTTCAAATTAACGCCTGGTGTGACTCGGATTGGGCAGGCTGCCCTTTAACAAGGCGCTCTCTTACTGGATGGATAGTTTTTCTTGGGAACTCACCTATCTCTTGGAAAACCAAAAAGCAACAGGTTGTCTCTCGTTCGTCTGTTGAGGCAGAATATCGTTCCATGGCTACTACGACATGTGAACTCAAATGGTTGAAAGCACTTTTACTCTCCCTTGGCATCTCTCAATCTCGCCCCATGAAGATACATTGTGATAGTCAGTCGGCATTGCATATAGCTGCCAATCCAGTTTTCCATGAGCGCACAAAACACATCGAAGTTGACTGTCATTTTTTACGCGATGAACTCCTCAACGACAACATTTCAACTCACCATGTGTCCACAAATATTCAACTTGCTGATATATTTACTAAAGCATTGGGAAAACAACAATTTGATTACTTTCTAAACAAGTTAGGCATCCACAATTTGCATGCTCCAACTTGAGGGGGGATCTTAGGCAACTGATATCTTGCCAAAATAATATCATGAAGATGCTGTCATAACATCACATTATGTGAAGATAATGTCATAACAGCACATTATGACATTAGTTGCACATATCTTCATTTTACTATTCTTAGCATCAATTTATATGGAAATGATTTAATATTAGACAACTATATTTAGAATGATTAGATATTATATTAAGCATCCCATTACAAACTAATATTTGTTTATATATATATATATATATATATATATATATATATATATATATATATATATATATATATATATATATATATATATATATATATATATATATATATATATATATATATATATATATATATATATATATATATATATATATATATATATATATATATATATATATATATATATATATATATATATATATATATATATATATATATATATATATATATATAGTTTTATAAATATATAAAGTTTCTTATTTTACATTATTTTTCGTTTCAATCTACAAATAAAAATATATAATAAATTTTGAATCGGATTTATCATCATCACTGTCATTGAAGATCAAATGTTGGATCTTCGTTTCATTGAATATTGGGAAAGAATAAATATTGGATATTGCATGCATTTGTCTCTGATTTAAAACAAAACAAGGGTTAGATGAATAAAATAAATACTCAGTTATATCATAAGAGATTATCTAAGAAAGTCAACCTTAAATCAAAATATTTTTCTGCTCTTGCAATTCATAATAGAGTATTTATCCAAACTTTTTTAAATTTCAATGTTTCATGAAAAATATTTTCATTATCAATATTAGACGTACACCCATGAGATGCACAAATATATTTTATTTAAAAATTATTGATAATTATAATAATTTAAAATATATTAAATTGAATAATTTTATATTAATTGTGTCTCTAATTTAAAATAATGTCAAATTAATAATTGATATAAAAAATAAGTATATATGTAAAATTGAAATAGAAGAAAATTAAATCATACTTAAGAATTAAAAATTGAATTAAGAAATTATAAATTAAAAATTTATAAATTATAAATTTAAAATTAGCTTTAAGATTTCTATATGCGAAATAAAAATCATAAAATAAGAAATTCCTCATTACATAAAAAAGTGGATATGTTATATTTTAGTTAATTACAATAAGAAAAATTACAAATTGCCTATTTATTAAATAATAAAAAAATAAATAGTTTATATAATGCATTATTTAGTAATGGCATGATAGTCGCATGTAAAAAAGTAGTTTCTAATAATATGTTAATGACTTAGTAGATATGGATGGAAAACTGAAAATGATTAGGTTAATGGGTGATAAGTAATCGGTATGATTATGAGTTTTAATTTAACTAGTCGATAATCCGTGCTGTCGCACGGGGTCGGTCGAGAATTCATAAAACGTGGAACTAATGTTGTCATGTAACAGTAAATTCGTTTTTATGTAATTCAATAAAAGTTCATCTAATTCGGCCAAATTCAGTGTATCAAACTTATTTGACAACATTAAAAAATATAAACTGAAATCATGATTGTGTAACAAAATAAGAAACTGTGATGACTCTTCGAAATAAGAAACTATCACGAGTCTTCAGATACAACGCAACCAGCTTGGAAACGATGTTTTCAACTTTTTGACCCGCACAATAAATTATGCAAAAATTAGACAGCATTTACGGAAACAATTTATATTAAAGAAAATATTTGTTATTATGTACTTACCGATCAACAAAGAGATTGGAAAACTTCTTTGTATACAACATTTGTAGTGATAGATGTTGATACATTCATACTATCACGTATTAAGATCTTCAGACCACTTTTGCTTGTAACTCTTGAAATGGCTACATACAACTGGCCATGACTGAATACAGGAGTAGGCAAATACAATCCAACTGTATCAAGTGATTGGCCTTGAGACTTATTAATTGTCATTGCGTACGACACAATAATTGGGAATTGTCTCCTAATCAACTTAAATGGCCACGGTGACTCGGAAGGTGACATAGA